TTGTTTTTGCCTTTTTTCCCCAGTAAATATACAGTTGGTCATTCATATTCCCAGGTTGTGCATCCATGGATTCAACCAACTTTGGCTGGAAAACAGTATTTTTAACCTGCCATTGGAAATCTGCGGATGTGGAGAGCCAACTGTATGCATTGCTCTGTGCCTTTTTATACAGGGGATTTGTGCATCTGGGAGTTTTAGTATCTGTGGAGTCCTGAACCAATCCCTATAGACACCCAGGGATGATTGTAGTTGAGTTTTTGAGGAGTCAAAGGTTATGCGGATTTTCAATTGCTCGGGGTCTATGCCTGTAACTCCCGTGTTGTTCAAAGGTCAACTGTACTAGAAGAAGTTGGAAACATCCTAGATGCCCATAAATTGAAAGAATATTTAAGTAAAGTGGTACATTCACTATGGATACTCTTTATGAGCTTTAAATCAATGACTGCTAAAAGTACATAAAATGTTTCTGCTACACTATTAAGAAAAAATGGGGGAGTATACAACATGACTGCAGCTGAGCAGTGTTTAATCCCAAAATTTTGCTGCAAAGAAAGAGAAAAAAAGACTGGAGGGAAATGTGTCAAAATGAACAGAGATTAAGCCGCAAGGTGAGGCTTTGGGTGATTCCGTTTCTTTATAATTTTCCACCTTTGAATCGAATACCCTACTTTTATAATTACGAAAAACCTTAAGAAAACCTTGAGCTTTGGAGTTTAAGTAGGCAGCCCACAGCAGAGGCGCGGGGGCGGGCACCCAGCGCTCGGCCGCGGGGAGGCTGTGGCCCTGGCGGGCGGCCCGGGACGGGGACCCTGCTGGGGCTGCAGCCTTCGGAGAGGAGCCTGTTTTATCTCTGGGCGGGGATGATGTCACCCTAGGAACACCAGAAAGTGCTGATTAATCACGAAGTCAGACTAGCCCCTGAGCCGAACGCAGGTCGGGGTGAGGCGAGAGGGCGCCCCAGCCAAGATCGCTATTTCAGAGGCCACCGCGCGCCGTCGCCGAACCCGGTCCCCCGCGGCCGCAGCCTGCAGGCCCGCCCGCTCCCGCCACCGCCACCGCCCGCTCCCGCCCGCCACCTGCCGCCCGTCCCTCTCGCTCCCGCCGGTTCCTCCTGGGCCGCGACTCTTCGTGGTCGCGAACCGAAGATCGGTGCTCCTACAGACGACCGGCACCGGGACGACGGCTTGGGAAGGTCTGCTCAGGAGCAGAGCCCCAAAGGGGAAACCGGAACCCGGCCCGCGTTTGGAAGACCCTTCGAGGGAGAGGCCATTCGTCTTACTTTTCAAGCATAGGGGTTTCCAGCTGCCCGCTTTAGTGAGCTATGTATTCTGGTCTCATATTATTCATGATTTCATTTTTATTACAACTATTTTAACGATTTCGTCCCGTTGTGAACACACCGCAATCGGTGGCGTCGGGGAGTAACGGGGCGGCGGCGTCACGCGCTGCGGAGACCGGCTGGGCTCGGGCTCCGGGCTCCAGAACCGAGCTGGTCCACGTTCCCGGCCCTTGCGAGGACCCCCGCGGGAGAAAGAGAACGGGTACCCAGCCTCGCTGCGGAACAGAGCCCTTCATGCCCGCGGAGGCTCTGTGAGGGATAAGGAACCTTGGGTGCCACCAATTTTCCTTGCAGGAAGCGTTCACACTGGTCCCAAACAGAATTTGCATAAAAGCTGTCTGTGCCCCGAAGGAGAAAAGAAAGTGATCAAAAGACTCAGGGGGGTCTGAGATACCAGTCAAGATACCTGGCGGTGAAATATGTTGCTCTTATGAATGGCTTTGTAAACTCTTCTAAGAATAATCCTGGGCAAGGCCAGACACTCTTTTTAGGCCTGTCAAGCAGGAGAAGGGCCTGAAGCATGGTAAGTGGGAAGCTAATGGGCTCTGCTCAGAGATGCTAGGAAGAGTGCCCAGGAGGAGGGAGTGAGGGACACCTCCATTTTGCCTTCACAGCATTTCTTACGTGACCTTGGCCTTCTGGTCAGTCTTGAAGGAGCTCCCACTGAAGACCCTGCAGCTCAGCGTCCCAACTCCCCCCTCCTGTGCTTGCTGTCTCGTTTCTTAGGCAAATGTTAAACCGTGGATCACACGGTTCCTCCGTGGATCCTCCGTGGGCAGGGTGTAGGCCAGTACCTGGACTCTGGAGATGAGTGCAGATAGAGTTAGAGTTGGATCCAGGGGAGCAGAACTAGCACCCCTCAGTAAATACCCAACACACACATTTCCCTGCAGGTTTGTTTTAATTACATCAAGGCTTGTCACAATCATTTTTTCCATTTTCTTTCTTTCTCTTAAAAACAAAGGTCTCTCTTAGGTTGCTTTATGAACCTCACTAATACAAGTCAGGGCTGCATGATGTTAGGTTGCCTTGGCAGGGAGAGGGCATTTTATCTGCTTTTGATCATTGTTGGATTCTCAGGCCTTTAAATCTTTTGAACTCAACCATCGTTCCACACTAGCTGCTACTGATTCTTCAACCCCAGTGCTCTCTTGATTATACTTCTCTGGCTCGAATGCGATAGCTTTTCTGTCCGTTGGGCCCAAGGGGCTGGGGATGCGGAGGATGATTCTTAAGCCATAATCAGCAGCTTGAGTCCCTGTGACCTGCTTGGAGCTCATAGTAACCAGAGTCAACAACTCACTGCCTTTAGGAGAAACAGCAGCAGGTTTATGTAGCTTGGAAAAGACAATCCAGTTCCAAGACATGGGAGGAACAGATAGGGATGTTTGGTAGCTGCTAAAACCAGAGCTTCTCAAACTGGGGTTTTCATCAGAATCACCCAGGAAACTTAAAAAATACAGACCTCTATGGTTAGGAGTGGGGCAGACATCTGTGTTTTTCAAAACTCTCGGGTGATTCTGACATCAGCCAAGGCAGGGCCACTGGTTCATGGCTTGGGCTGCTGTGAGTCAAGGGCAGCACTCAGCTTAGGCAACACAGTGTCTGGGGGTGGAGTTGCTGATCAGAATTTAGGAGGTTCTGGGAATACATTTGGCCCAGTTTCCCAAAATTATAGTCTTGTTGTGGGGATGACCTTGAGATTTGGGAGTCAGAGCTGGAGGGAGGTGCTGAGCACCCACCCACTTGTTTCTTAGGTTGGCCAACTGAAAAAGGTGAAGGGATTAAGAGAAAAAACCCCACCTCATCGACAGATAATAGCATAGTGATAACCAGAGGGCAAGGGCTTGTGGGGAGAGAGGGGAGAGGATAGTGGGGAAGGAGACTTAACTTGGGGCGGTGAACACACAATACAATTCACAGATGAGGTATTATAGAATTGTACACCTGAAACCTATATAATTTTATTAACCAATGTCACCTCAATAAATTCAATTAAAAAGTTAAAAAAAAATTCTTACAGGAGCCTGGAACTCAGGGTTATACAACGGTTCTACACCAGTTAAACTGTGACTGAAAAAAGATAATCATATGCATAATAACCATTACTAAAACAAATGCCATTGTGATTAGTATTGACTGAGCACTGTGCTAAACACTTGACAGGTATAAGGCCATTTAATCCCTCACACAAACATCTTTTGAGGTAAACTGGTTGTCCAGTTTACAGGCGAGGAAAGCAAAGCTCAGAGGGTTTAAGCGAATCACTGAAGGATTCCCAGGTAGTTGGTAGCAGAAACAGGACTTGCTCCCAAGGCTGTTTGACTCTAGAGTGTGAGCTCCTTTGAGGTCAGACTTCCTGCTTCTAGGTCCGTTAGTCTCAGAATGGATTTGCATACAAGCTGAAGTTGGGATGCTTAGGAAATGAATGACAGTCAGTGCTACAGGTTGCAAAGAGCATTTAATTTAAAAACTCACATCTCACATATTTGAAGTTGTTTTAATTTGGTTATTTGTGGTCAACCTGAGGACTGCATTAGGAGCATAATAAACCAAACCGGAGAGACTAGAGGACTATTCGGTTCTAACTTTTATTTTAATAAACAACTATTCATACCTTTCCAGAATCATTTAAAAGGAAAAGGGGCTAATTTTATTAATATAGCCCTCACAATTTAGCAGTGTCTCTAAAGTGCTCACTACTTGGTTTGAGGAGATTGGCAATGACTTGGAAACCATGTCATCCTTGTAATATGGACTTGAGTGTGCAGTGAGGGAAGAGTAAGGAAAATGACAAAGCACCCTTTGGAGGATGATGACAGAAATCTACGTATGAAAATAAATCACACCTTGGGGATCTTGGAGGGTCTGCAAGCACTACAGATTACTCACCAGTTGTAAGATCTCCCAGCATTAATCTGTCTTGGCAGTGGGAAGGATATTACCAAATGACTACATTGCCTGCTGGCTTCTTCCAAACTCCTGGCTTGAAAAGCAAGCGAGTGAATATTCACTCTGGAAGATGGAATTGTTTCCTGTATAGAGTCTGTCTCATGGAGGTTCTTCAGGCAAGTAAACCAGGACTTGAAATTTTATTTTTCTGTTGACCACATTCCAACAAATTCTGATGCATCTCAGTCCCATATAAGCATACCTCAGAGATATTGCAGGTTTGGTTCCAGACCACCTCAATAAAGCAAATATTGCAATAAAGCGAGTCACACAAACATTTTGGGTATCCCAGTACATATAAAAGTTATGTTTATGCTATATTCCAGTCTACTAAGTGTGCAACAGCATTATGACTGAAAAAAAAAATCAATGTACATACCTTAATTAAAAATACTTTGTACTAAAATAATAACCATCATCCGAGATTTCAGCGAGTTGTCCACCTCGTGCTGGTGGAGGGCGTTGCCGCGATGTTGATGGCTGCTTACCCGTCAGGATGGTGGTTGCTGGAGGCTGGGGTGGTCTGGCAAGTTCTTAAAATAAGACAACAATGAAGTTTGCTGCTCCGATTGATGCTTCTTTTGACGAACCATGCGATGCTGTTTGAAAGTATTTTACCCACAATACAACTTCTTCAAAAGTCCTCTCAGACCCTTCCACTTGCTTAATTTACTGAATTTATGTGATAGTCTCAATCTTTTGTTGTCATTTCAGTAATCTTCACAGCATCTTCGCCAGGACTAGATGTGGAACTCTTCTTTTCACTAGAACACCGACAGGCCATTGTACGGTTAGTAACTGGCCTAATTTCAATATTGTTGTGTCCCAGGGAATAGGGAGGCTAGATGAGAGGGAGAGAGACAGGGAGTGGCAGGTTGGTGGAGCCGTCAGAACACACGAAACATTGATCAGTTACGTTTATCGTTTTATATAAGTGTGGTTCATGGTGGGCCAAAACAATTTCAATACTAAACATCAGACATCACTGATGATCACCATAACAAATATAATAATAATTAAAAGGTTTGAAATATTGTGAAAATTACCAAAATTACAAAGGGACACGAAGGAAGCAGATGCTGTTGGGAAAAGAGCACTGATAGACCTGGTCAATGCAGGTGGCCACAAACCTTCAATTAAAAAAAAAGTAGTATCTGGCTCTGACTGTGTGGCTCAGTTAGTTGGAGCATCATCTTGTGCACCAAAAGGATGCTGATTCGATTCCCATTCAGGTCACATACCTGGGTTGCAGGTTCAATCTCCTATTGGGGATCATTAGGGAGCCAACTGATAAATGTTTCTCTCTCACATAGATGTTTCTCCCTCTCAAATCAATAACACACACACACACACACACACACAAATTTGGGTGAGGATTAAAAACAAAAGTAATATCTCCTGGCCAGTTTGACCCAGTGGTAGAGCATGAGCCTGCAGACCAATGAGTCTCGGGTTCGATTCTGGTCAAGGGCACATGCTTTCGTTGCGGTTCGTCCCTGGCCCTGGTCGGGGTCATGCAGGAGGCAGCCAATCAATGTGTCCCTCTCACGTCGATGTTTCTCTCTCTCTCCCTCCCACTCTATCTGAAGATAAAGAGACAAATATCCTCCGGTGAGGATTAAAAAAAAAAAGTAAAAACAAAAGCAATATCTTCGGAGCACAATAAAATGAGTTATGACTGTATTGGAAGCAATTTCCTTAAGGTTTAACAAGACTCATGTTAGAACAATGACCACCAAGGTTATTTTCAGCTCTATAGAATTTTTTTTCTCTGTAGCATTTTTTGATGACTACGGAAATGTCACTTCTTGCCCCTATCATATTGGCTGTGAAGGGAAAAACCTGCTTGGTTTTCAAGGTGCTTTATCATTTTCCCAGCCCATAAAATAGTTGGAGAATAGTGTACTTGTAGAAAAACAAGACAAAATACTCTTTTTCTCCTCTCGGTGAGGTAAATTTTACTCACAAACAGTAAGGGATAGAAAGTAAAGAGAACTGGCCTTTGGATGCTGGATGACTTCGCTGACCACCACGGATTTTAAAATGGCTGCCTCTTCTTTAGGTGGTTCTTGGTGGGATTGTCAGGGGAAAAAATAAATCCCCACTGTCAACCAGTAAGTCTCAGGAGACATTGAGTGTCTTAGATACTTAAAGGACAGACAGAGAGAGAAAGCATACCATTCTATCATATTATCAGCATACACACACACACACACACACATATATATTGTACACAATATATATATATTTACACAATATATATATATCCAACCAACTGAGCCACCCAGCCAGGGCCAGATATTACTTTTTTTTTAATTGAAGGTTTGTGGCCATCTACATCGACCAGGTCTATTGGTGCCCTTTTCCCAACAGCATATATATATGCAGAGAGGCACTAAATACATTTCGCATGTTATGTATACTAAGAGGGGATACCCAGAAGCTGGCAGCAGGTTACGGACCGTGTCAGAATGTCATCCATTATCTCCTAGCCCAGTAGGTCATGAAGACTTCATTTTTTTTCTCTTTATTGATTTTAGAGAGAGAGGAAGGGAGAGGGAGAAATAGAAACATTAATGAGAGGGAAAATTGATTGGCCACCTCCTGCATGCTCCCCACTGGGGATTTGGCCCACAACCTGGGCATTTGACCTGACAGGGAAATGAACTGGTGACCTCTTGGTTCATGGGTCAACGCTCAACCACTGAGCCACACCAGGCAACTTCATTCTTAAACCTGGGACCATCACTAGCCTATAGAGAATAACCTTAGCTACTCATGTGACTCACAGGCCAGGAAGAATGTCTTTGTTGTTCATCTTACTGGATGACTGTTGAATTGCAGGCTTGGAGAAGAACTGTCTTCCTCAGAGTGCTGCAGGAGGTTGGGGGCCAGAGGCAGAGGGGCCATGGTCCTTCACGATGACTCATGGAAGTCTCTTTATTTATTGTAGAATCTGAACTTTCAGATTTTTTTCATTACCATGCCATGGGCCTCTGCAAGTGAGATGGAATATCACATGCCCAAGTTAAAAATTCTTGTCTTATTACTAAATCTAGAGGCCTGTGCAGGAAGTTCTACAGGAAGACAAGCATTTGACTGCAGTATTCGCTGTGAGAAACCGTGATGTGGTACAGGCTAAGTCATATGGAACGGACAGCACTTTTAACTTCCACCTGCTAAATGCCTTGGCTTCAAAGACCATTTTATCTGGGGGCGGGGGGGGGGGGCGGTGACCAGATTCTGCAGAACTAGAGTCTAAGAACAGAGGCCACAGAAAATAGGAGTGGAGACATCAATTGCTGATAGGAAAGGGAAGAAGAGAATGAGAATTACCAGAAGGAGTGAATTTCAAGGAGGTAGATTTGGATTTGTCAGGAACAATATCTTCCATGATCTCGGAGACAGTGGTGTTTCAGGTTCGAATAGAACTGTAAGCAGCCTGTGGGCTGGGTGGGAAATGGACAGGCAGACAGTAGGGTGAGTGGGGTGGGTGGGGGAGAGAGGAAGAGCCGTCACCCACAGCTGTGCCATTGGGCATTCACAAGGGTACCATGTCTAAGAGGACATGATTCACTTGATAAGCAACATAGATTTGATACTTAAGACAATTTTTCTTGCAGATGCTATAGTGTCCTTTCCAAACAAAATTAGTAAATTACCACAATTTTCTGACATATGAGAGTAAAGTGTCTCAGGGAATTGGGTGCCTTTTTCTAATTCACACGAAGGCACCTATGGGCTAGCAATAGCCTTGAGGGGAAAAAAAGTTCAACATTCAAAGCCTTTCCATGCAATAAATAATATTAAAGCAGTAGAATCAATGAAATACTCTAAAGAAAAATCTTTCTATTCCTTGCCTTTATCGATACTGTGGTCAAGATGGAAGCACTTAAGTTTAAAAATTTTATGTGGGAGATAAGCAAGAGATCGCGGGAAAGGGATCTTTCTGTTTTAACCTGTATCAGAATGCAAGTACTTCATATGTTTGGAAAATTCCTAAGGGTTTTCTTTTTCAATTTTATCTTGTCCTAACTGACTTGTACTAGGACAAGGGACCGTTTCCTGGGGTTGCTAGATGGGATTTGAAAGAGGCAGGACAATGGTTAAATGGGAAGGAATTAACTACTCAAGCCAAAACCCACTTGGCTTACATTGGAAATCCTTTATGTGTTTCAAAAACATCATTGGAAGTCCACTGAAAGTAAATTTGACTTTTAATTGTGACACCTTAGGTAATGACAAACATTAGGCATCTAACAAAATTTTTCTAAGCTATTTCCATTCTTATGTCCTTGGGAAAAGATTTAGGAGAATACATTGAGTTTAAGGCAAATGAAACCACAGAACCAGAAAAAAAAATCCATTCATCTGTCTTGTAATATAGTTTGTGCTGCCAAAAAACAAAAGACATCTGAAAGATTATGTGTAAAGAACAAAGACTGTAATCTTGATGCTATGACTGGGGACATTTCACTGATTAACTTTTTGAATAACTAGTTTGCTATCTACTTACTTTGAGGTATTTCTTATAAAAATGATGGCCGTGGGAAGGTTATATTTAAACACCTGGATAAATCACCCATTGTTTAAGTGAACCCAACTGTTTTTTTTTTTTTTTTTCTCTTTTCTTTTTTCTTTTTCTATCTGATAAATAAGTGACTCACTTAGCCTTGGACAACTAGAAAGACTTACCAAGATCATTAATTACATTTCCCCATCATGTAAACATTGTGTTCAGGAAGGGCTACAGTGAGCAGTGCTATGAATTGAGAACAGACAGGCTGTCCTATTTGTCTTCTGGGCTTCTCAGCTTAATTGCACAGGTGTATGAGACTTCATGCAGTTTCTGTAAAAAATCCTTCATTTCACAGATCAGGGTGAATTTACCTAGTAGCTTATTGCATAAAGGAATAATTAAGGGATGTGATTCTTGGGTAACAAAATAATTTAAAGCTATTTTATCATTTTAGATTTTGTATATCCAATAGATGTTTTCCACTCTCTAGCATTCTGCTTTAGGGCAGCGACTGCTCAAGTTTGGTTTTCAGAAAACAGGCATCAAAATTAGTTGAAGGAGCTCATTAAAAATTAAACAAAAACAAAAACAAAAAACAATAGATTTGTGGCTCCCACTCCAGATCAATGCACTTGTCATTGCTGAGGCCTGGGAAACTGATTTGAACAAGTTTTCTGATCCCTCCCCCTTCTCCATGGTGATTTTGAAACACATTAATACAGTTATCATCTCACATTCTGCGTTGTTCCTCTGGTGGGGTGAGGGGGAGGAGAAAGAGAGAAAGAGAGAAAGAGATTGATTCTTAATTTTGTACCAAACCACGAACAAAGAGAGATTAAACTGTTGAAGTTTCTTTCTCTGAACAAAGATATCATTGGTGAAAACCTGGTGTATTTGTAAAGGGCCTTCAACAGGCTGTGTGGGCTGATAAGTTTGGAGCTGAAAGCGCTTGAAACTGCAAATTTGCAAAATCATGAATTACATGAATATTTAGAATATTTTTAAAAAATATTCAACTATCATAGTTTGGCTCCTAATGAATTCCAATTTGTGACTATAAAGATAAACTTGATTCTTATCAAAATAAAATATTTGGAATAAAAAAAAACCCTGCAAAATATCTACATCAAGTGTTGAACATTCCAAGGTTTCATAAATCAAGAATTTAAAATATATATCATATAGTCTTGGATTTGGCCATCAGTTTTTGTGTTAACAGAATTTTATTTAATCCTCACCCGAGGATATTTTTTCATTTATCTTTAAATAGA